GGGTTGGATTTGAGTGGGGGCTTTTCACATCAGAGCTTATTTCTGGGTGGGATTGAAAAAATTTGGGGTTTGGGCAAATGTTTTTTTAGTGGGATGAATTGTAAAGGGCCTGCCTAGTATGGGGCCCGCAGCCTCCTGCAGTGTTCCTCCTTTCTTATGTCTTATTTCTTATGAATCAAAAGGGATATTAGGAAGTATTTTTTTCAGCCACAGAGTAGTCAGGAAGTGGAAAAAGTTTGGGAAGCGTTGTAGTGGGGGCGGATCCATAATAGCTTAAGCAGAGGTACGATAAAGCTCATGGTTCAGGAGAGTGACCTAGTAGCGACCAGTGAAGAGGCGGGGCCAGGAGCTTGGCTCGACCCCCCGCAACCTCAAATAGGGAAGTTTCAACTAGGTGAGTACACACATACACACACACACACATTACACACACACACCACAACACACACTCACAAAACACACACACACACAACAACACACAAAAAACACACACACACACACACACACACACACACACACACACACACAACACACACACACATACACACACCACACACATACACACACACATTTCCACACACACACACACACACACACACACACACGCACACACACACATACACACACATACATACATACAACAACCACCCCACACACAAAACACACACACAAAATAAAACACAACTCAAACAAAACAACCCAACAGACACACAAACAACACATAACACAACACAAAACACAAAAATTCCAACCACAAACAAATGGAAAAACAAACAACCAACAACACAAAAAAACCACCACAAAACCAACACATACAACCCAACCATACCCCAACCCCCCAAAAACACACACACACACACACACACACACACACACCCCACACACACACACCACACACAAAACACACACACACACAAGAATATAAAAAACCCAAAAACACCTAAAATTCAAAAACCCACCCACAAATACAACAACCACCAAAAACTGGACACCCCCCACAAAACAATCCACACCACCAAACCCCCAACACTCCCAAAAAATAAACACACACCAAACCACAACCAAATTGAATAAATATGATCCCTAAAAACACTCTTCACCCACACACCAACCCCTCCACCACACACTTTACACATTTTCACACACACCTCACCACCCCAATCAACCATAACAAAATTCAACATTTAACAAACTTTTCACAAACACACACACACAACAAACAAAAAAACATTTACCAAAACCAAGAACCACAAACAAAAACAAAACCATACACAAACACAAAACAAACCAGACTAGTCCCAAGCTTAAGTTTTGTCCTAGAGTTTAATTAAGAAATCCCAAACCCAAACCTTGAAAAAGAAACATGTGCAACTCTTGGGGAATTGAAAACGTTGGCCAAAAAAGTGTTCCCCAAAATTAAAAGTCGGGTGACCATTAACTAAAACAAAATTAAACAATGTTTAAATATTCTTAGAAGAAAGTTGGAAAATTTTCGTGTGTGGCCCTAATTTTCTTTACAGGGAAAAATCCCGAGAAATATTAGTACCCATCATGAGACCCAGGTCTCACTCCCACCCCCCTCACTGTCAACCCTTTAAAGCCATGGGAATTTTGAGCCGCTAAAACGTAAACTCGGATGGTTCAAAGCTTGATTCCCTTAGTGATGGGCTGATTTGATAGGCGTGATTATCCCCTTCATTTTTATAGGGAAATTGGGATGGGGTTAGACCCCCTGGGTTTAACTTACTAAAAATTATAATTCGTTCAAAAATAATTTCAGGGTAATTTTTAAATGAAAGAAATTTCTGACAGGACAATTTTTATAACTGTTAAGAACGGAACTCCGTCCTTAAATAGAGAGGTCTAAAATTAGTTTCTTTTTAGGCAAAGTAAGATTTAATAAATTTTTTTACTGTCTTTTTTAAAACTGGAAATTTTTTTTTTTTCATAAAATTAATAGTGGACTATTATGGGTTAATTCATGGTTAACCCACATTGTTATATGCACCGGGTAACTGTTTATGTCCCAAAGTTTTTTTTTTATTAGTCTATTATTCAAGAAACCTAAACCATAAAAAGCAGTTTTGGGATCTTTATTAGGAAACGTTTCCCCACACAGTGGGGTTTGCCATACAGTCCCAAACAATCTACCAATAAATAAAAAAGATAAAATTTATTTGTAAAATTTTTTAAAAATTTCGCGGTTGGAAATCCTTTTTTCTGGGGAATCTGGGCCGTTTTTTAGATTCTATGTTACTTGGCCCAATGGCAATTGTGGTAATTTGACCTCAAAGTTTCTATGTCTTATGTTGATGCATGAAAGAATTTTTAATCGGATATCCTTTAAATTTTCCCTTTTATTGGTTTATGATTTCCATGTGTTATTTTAAAACCCTTTATATTCTTCAAAAAATTTCTTTAGCAAAACGAAGAATTACCCTCCAACGTAACAACATGTCTCTTAGAGGAACTAATCGTCTTTAAAGTTTTTTTACTTATAATAATTTCATAAATTAGTTGAACCAATCTTTTCTGTTTTTTTTATTTCTTAAATTTTTCGTGAAATGAAGGTTCATATATATCTAAACATTTCGGAAGTTATAGGGGATTGGGGCTGAAATTTTTACTTTTTTTCTGAAAAGTGAGAATTTTTTAAGGAACAATAACCTATCCAATTTTTGTCCTTATTGCTACCTAACACTTCCTACCACACCGTGTTTTCAAGACCAAACCCACCTGTAAGGTACAAATTTTTTAGATGTTCGGTTGGTTCAGTAAAAGGGATTTGAAATCTCCCTTAAATTTAACGCTAGCTGCAATATTTTCGTTGGGAGACTTCCAGGTTAATGTTCATTTTTTAGGGTAATGAAGGTTGTGTGTAAAAAGGTCCAAAACTCATTGGTTTTTGTTAGCCCCGGGATTTTAAATTTTTTTTTTCCCCTTTCACAAACGGAAACCCCTTCCCCCTGAAACTCTCTAGGAAACTAACAGCAAAGTCTTTTAAAAAACTATAGGACAATCTTTCTTTCTTTCTTTATTCTTGAATAAGCTGCGTGTGGTCCACAACTCACAACACTAAGCTTAATTATTAAATAAATGCTACAGGTAACTGAAATGGTCAGTTTAATTTCCTCGATCTTGATTAAGCTAAGGCTGAATAAGTATTCTGGGAAATGTTTGAGGTTAGGGAGGCTGCAACGGGTCGATAGTGTGGTCTTGGTCTTAGTTGGTTGTGTGGGATGTGTTGTCTGGTGGGGGAAGGGGGAAGAAGGCTTGAGGTTACCTGCAGGTTACCTGTAATCGCATCCGAGAGTCACTAGCCTGCAGCCTGGTTACAGACCAGGCCTCCTGGTTGCTGGCCTGGTCGACCAGGTTGCTGGTGTCGCCGCCTCAGTCCAAAGCGTGCACCACAGCCTGGTTAAGCAGGAATCGACTTGAGGAACTTATCCGAATCCCTTCTCAAGACAGCTAGAGGTTTACTAGTAATTCCCCTAATGCACGATGGGACGGTGATGATGAGTTGGGGTCTCTTTAAAATTATTAGAAACTCTCTCCATATATTCATCAAACTGCTATCATATTGGGTATATTCAACTATTTGCCAAGCCATTTGTTTTCACACTGAGTGATTTCGGTGTGCTAGTTGTGATCAGTCCCTCTAGATTCTTCAAAGTGTTGATCTTGAGTATCGTTAGAGGTAATTCGAGCTACTAACGTTCTGCAATGTCTCCTGTCTTGAAGGAACCTGTTAGTATATAACAATATTCCAGCCGAGGGAAGACGAGTTACCTGAAGAGAATCATTATTTTCATGATATCTCTTGTTTTGAAAGTTCTAGTTATTCAGTCTTTAATTCTCCTCGCTTACGATAACGGCATTGTTGTACTCCATGAATGTGATATCATCTGATATTTTTACTCCCAAGTCTCTCACATTAGATTTCCTAACTACTGAGTGATTTTTAGTTTGTCTTGTAGTTATATCTTATTGTAATAACTGGAACTTGTTGTCAGTGGCCCATTGCAAGACTTTGTTCAGATCAACTTGAAGGAATTCTGTGTATCCTGTGGATATCATTCTGATGGCTAATTTGTATGGAACTTTGTAGCAACGTTAGTTTCAAAATGTTCTTGAAACATGTGTAGGTTGGTACTACTTTACTACAGAGAATATCCTGAATATTCCTAATAACATATGATGTCAGCCAACCTTGCTCCACATAGAAAATTGCCATAGTGGGTTTACGTATATCTAAATATTTGAAAATATTTGAATTTTATCATCAGTCACAAGTATATCTAGATATTTCTGTAAGATTTTGATTATTAGTGAGTATTCTTTATCTAATACTTTTCGACCCTGCTGCACAGTAGAAAATTATCTATGAGAGTTTACGAATTTCTAGGTACTTGAGTACTCACGAGTATTTCTGAATATTCCAAATATTCCTGAGTGCTTTCTGTTTCCAACATGTCGACACCTTATTAATACTGAAAACTATCAGAGTAGGTTTCCATGACATTTCCCTGAGACCTTTGTAACTTACAATATTATCTACCTACCGTCTTGATGTGTGTGAATATGTCGCATCCACATGACTAGATAGTAGTACACTACTGTATAGGTACTTTCTATCTGTGTACCTTCTTGCAGGTTCCCGGTCATTTGCGTTAATTCCCTCCTGCGGTCTGTACCTTCATAAGCAGGAATACCTAACTCTCAACAAATTATTTCCTGCTTAATGTTATGTCATCAACAGGTACATCTTACGCTGTGCTAATTCTGCCATGTTTTCTGTTGTGTGTTTTCATGTATATTCCCGTATCTACGTGTGTTAATTATCTCTTGTTTTCTGTAATGTACATTTCGCAGTGCTGATTCCCCACTGGTCACTGTATTTTCTTTATCAGGTACTAATTACTGTGATCATTACTCCTGCTCCCTCTCTTATATTTCCAGTAGATATACTTTCTTTTCCTAATTCGTTTCTCTTGATGCAGGTCACAATGGTAATGATACCAGTGGAGGTCGGGCGGGCAGCTACGGTGCAATGGCTGGCTGGCGACACTTCATGCAGGTTCTTCTCATTCTTCAGGATATTTGGTCACTACCTCTCCTCCTTCATTCTTGTCTGCATTTCCATTGATAGGTAAGTGAGGGAAGGATATGTGAAGACTCATCTAGCTGTGTTTTCTAGGGCTGGTAATAGAATTATAGATGAGTGGTACAAACTGTTGTAGAGTACCACTGAATACCTCGAGAAGCTTTAAAAAATTTGGTTATACAAGTGTACGAGATAGAATATATAGATGCAGGAATGATCTGACATCGTCAAGAAGTGATTCTCTGATTTTATGTTCTTCATAGCTTCGTAATGCTCATTACCAGAGCCACATTCTTGGGATTTTGCAAAAAAAAAAAAAAATAAAATAAAAATAAATAAAAGTCTCTGGCACGAGCGCAAGAGTATACACAATACCATATGGGGGCGGTTTGATAAAATATATGCGATAAAACAGTGAAATCTCTGGACATTATGATCAGGGAACATAAAAACGCTTGCAACCGTGACGGCCGTAGAAACCCGTGTCTAACACAGGGACGATGTTGAACACCAAGAAATTCAGTGAGGCTGGTTTAGTTATTAAGGAAGATGATTTAGGAAGGTGAAAGTGTACAGAGGCTCCCCTAATTGCTGTTAGTAACATTATCCATCAAAAATCAGGAAGTTACTCAGTATCCAAATTACTGTTCAATACAATATTACCCAATCCGAAGACCGTTGTAACACGACGTTGACACGTCCTTCTCAAACCCAACTCATCTAACCATATTGTACTACTACTACTACTACTACTACTTTCTCACGGCTTACCACCTGACTCCTCCCACTATATATATTCGTTTCTTACTTATCTCTCTATTAGGACTGAAGAAGCCAATCGTGGCGAAATTTTTCTTCCTTTAGTCTAGAACTATACATAACTTTTTCCATATCTTTATTGTATAACTATATCATTTTTCAGTAGTAGTAGTAGTAGTAGTAGTAGTAGTAGTAGTAGTAGTAGTAGTAGTAGTAGTAGTAGTAGTGGTGGTGGTGGTGGTGGAAGTGGTCTAAAAACAAAAGAAAAAAAGGGAACACTGCAGAAGAACTAATGGTCCACGAGGGTAGGCCAAAAACCCAGGGAAAAACACACTGGACAGAACCCACGTAGGCAGAAGAAAAAAAAAAGTAAAGAAAATATAGGAAAAGAGAAGATGAGATAAAGATCAGGTCAGGTCACGAGTGTCCTGAAGACGGGAGTGTTTGACAATGCAATAAGAAAGGAATCTATAGAGACAAAGCCAAGACTAAAATTCATATTAGGAAAGTTGCGTATAAGGAATGTTTCAAAAAGACGGTGTATGTGAAAGCTAGAAGAAGGGTAGACAGTTTTAGCAGAGGACCAGTCAATAGGATGACTGTGCTCTCTAACATGACAGAAAAGAACATTGTTAGTGTTGACAAGTTTAACACTTTTGTATTCTTTAAGTCTATCAGAACGAAAGCAACCAGTTTATCCAAAGTATTGAAGAGGAGAAGAGGAACAGAAAATGTGGTAGACTCCGGAAGTATCAGTAGCAGGAGGAGAGCTACCAACTAGATTTCTAAGAAGGGAAGCAATCTAATTAATATTAGACAGTTTTATTCGTCATTATAGCTTCATGATGCATTTCTATGATTTGAAAGCCTCCGCAAGTACTGCTAATTTTAAGCAGTTTGTGTTTGTCTCTGGATATATATTCAGTGTAATAATTATTATGCTCCTAGGTCCCCTTGTCTTCTTTAACTTCTCAGTCTTCTTTCATACTCTTTACGCTTGTCTTGATTAAAATCCAAGTCTGTTTGTAGCTTCTCTGTCCTCTGGTGACTCATAGGTATATGGCAGTTATTATTATTATTATTATTATTAAAGATTCGCGGGTATTCTCCCGGCCCGGGCCTTTTCCAAGTGGTGGCCCGGCCTTGGCTCCCTCTTCAGGGAGTGTCTGAGACCTAAGTCTCCCATGGGAGGAGGCACAAGGACCTCCTCATCTTTGGGACCAACTGTCCCCAGGCCTAGCCACAAGCTAGGCCTCTCTGGTCTGCCATCCCCGCCCCAGGAGGACTATTGGGAATGACAGTCTTAAGAGCTAAAGGTTCGGGCTCAGGCACCTACCCTGCCCTAGAAGGGTTAGGCATGGTATCGATTTTGTATATGGCAGTTGCCTGAATTTTATGCTACGGCAAACAACGCCTAAAATAACAGAAAACTGCTAGGTAAAACTACTCAGCTTTACATACGGTGGAAGAGCATGACAGGTAACCCGGGGCCTTACACGCCACAATAAGCACCACCAAAGAATTCGGATAAAATTCGTAACTATCTTCCTTCAGATTTATTTTAGTATATCTACCACTGGTAACACATTCTGAAAATGATGGCAAAAATATAGTAACTCTGCTTCCAACCTTTTAATAAATAGTTGAACATGTTTTACTGATGTATTTGAAGATCGATACGGATTAAAACAAGACAGCGAACAAAAGTGGAAGAATGAGACAATTGCTCAACATTTGAGAATCTTTAATGAGGAAACGTTTCGCCAGCCAGTGGCTTCTTCAGTCCAGTACAGAGAAGCACTGGTAGATGAGGAGGAGTTTGAGGTAAACAGTCCCTCAGCCTTGAGTCGATGAATTCAGTCCACCAGTCTTGATGTAGAAGCCACTGGCTCAATAAAGATCCCCAAATGTTGCACATGTGTCTCATTCTTCAACTTGTCGGTTTTCTAAACCATTTACGTCACAGCAAACATAAAACATGTGACAATTAACGAAAATTTAGCAATAGACATTTGTTGCTCATCAACCTTCAGTTGTGAACAGCTTGGGCAGGACACTTATCTCGTTTTTTTTAACATTTACCAACAGTGTTAATTATTTTGTCCAGAAACAGGCCAGGAGTAGCGAGAAGTTTCATGTGTTCATACATTGTAATTGACTGAACTAATTCTTGCTGTAGGAGCAGCTGTCGGCAACCTTCTTTAAACTACCGCTGACTGTCTGTACTTCAACTCCCACAACTCAAAATTCACGAAACAGTGCAGAATATATGAATGCACTGCTTTCAAATATACCTGGATATATGGTATTGTTATGGATAAATGAAATTGTATGATAGAGTGCAAAGAAATTTTCAACGATAAAATTCTTATTCTTTACTAATTTATATCTTATATTTTTTTGACTTTACCCGAATCTGCAGAATCTCTAAAGCCATTACAACTGCTGGAAATCTCTCTCTTCACCAAGTCCCCTTCCTGACCGGTACACTTATCTCCAGTGTTCTTTATCGAATGGTACACAATACCGATAAAATGAAGAGTAAGATACATCTGGGTATTTTTTATTTGTATATGTTTCGCTCTCTAGTGGCTTTAACAATACAAGGACATTATGTAAAGACAGTAGAACTTTGTACACAAGACACTGTAATTAGTTCCCCAGTCTTGGAGTGGTGACGAGCACCGACATCTTGAAGGCTCAGTCTCAGTCACCATATTTTCGTTTCTCTACAGAAGGTACTAATTTCCTCAGCCATTCTATTTTGGTAGGTAAGACACATAGGCAACTTTATTCCGAAACGTTTCGCCTACACAACAGGCTTCTTCAGTCGAATACAGAAAGTAGGCAGGAGCAGTAGCGATGTGAAGACGATGTAAACAGTCCATCACACTTGAAGTCGTAGATTTGAGGTTGTCAGTCCCTCAGCCTGGAGAAGTTCAGTTCCATAGTCTGGAACTATCTGAAGATCAAGTGACAGTGCAGAGACTTAAATACTGTCGGAAGGAGAGGTGCAGAGTAGTAGTAGTGAGAATGCAGCCACTGAGAGGTCATGTCCCTCTTGATCTGAGAGGGACATGATATTCATAATATTTTGATATTCACATTCTATTTTGGATTGATGTGTTCAATTTGTCTTTTATTTATTTGCTTCTGTGTCTAAGATATTTGATGTAGTCAAGCTATTATCATCATATTCCTGTTTTGAAATAATTTTGGTTAGTATGGAATTGTATATAACTCCTACTGTGGGTCCTTCTGTTAATACTGTGTCCAGGATATAGTCATGAAACAGACGATACCTATCGTCTGTTGCCTCGTAATTCCTCTGGTTCCTAATCGTAAGCGGCACTTCTGTTTAGATTTTTCTCTCCTCACTCTATGGTATATTCCTCAGGAAAGCTGCATTGCTTATTATACTAGAGAGTTTAGTCTTCAAGAGAGGTAATCAGGATGGATCTGGTGAAGAGATATACTTCAACAGCATCAGGAACGTCACCCCTTCCCCTTTCTTCCCTTGTTGGGGGGTATTTGAAAGCCATTTCCAAAGAAAGGATTTCCTTACGGATCTGAGATTGGCTCTTGACAGGATATTGCTCGCTGTGGCAAAGAAACCAAGATCTCTCCTAGGATGAACCTGTTCAAGGTGGAGTGTTTGTGGATGCTCATTCTTGAAGTAAAGGTGAGTGCAAAGGTCGGGTCGTCTGGTGAAGCTCTCGTTCTTTCACTGAGTGAAGCTACAGTCCTCTCAGCGATGGATCGTTCTCTCACCAAGTGAAACTCTGGTCCTCAGTGAGTGAAGCTCCGGTCCTGAGTGAACTAATGGTCCTCTTACCAAGTGAAGTTATGGTCCTCACGCTGAGTGAAGCTGTGATCATCTTAATAGGTGAGGCTTTTGTCTTTTCACTAAATGCAGTTTTATGTGAAAGAAGCTTTGAGTTAAGTATTCTTCTAAAACTTATAGATTAACTTTGTGAAATTAACAAACCTTCACTTAGAGAAATGAAGAGAGCTTCTCTTAAAGAAAGGCCCATATATTACTCAATGTATGGGCCTTTCATTTCACTAAGTGAAGTTTTGTTAATTTCACTAAGTTAATCTTTATGTAAAGCTCTGATATTCTAAGTGAAGCTTTGGTTCCCTGGAGAAGCTCTGGCCTCTTGAGTGTAGTTATAGTCCTATCATCAGGTATCCAGGAAGGGAAATCATTACTGACGCACGAAATCGTAATGACAAGATTGGGAACAAACCATTGCACGGGTGGGGATCGAATTCGCGGCCAGTGGTTGCCTGAATTATTTTTCTTCTAACTTTTCGTTTTATATTTCGCTCATGACACAAGAAAACTTTATAAGATCGGCTTCAAACTTTCAACACTGGTGTACAGTAACTAAGCCTAGATTCAAGGAACAATTGGCATGTGCAGATGCCCAGTGACCAAAGTTGTTGAAGCTATTTCCAGCCATCCTGGAACACCTTCAATAACTTCCAAAAGCTTCTGTGGCATAGGTTCGTACATTATAAAAAAAAAGTGTTTTCTAATTCGATGATGACAGTGAATAAAATTCAAGTGTGTAGGTGGATATCTTCCCATTTTATGATTAAAATAGTGTGAATGTTTGATTCCAGATCAATCACGTCAAATATTTTTGAGTTTACCTCTTATAATGGCTTCATTATTTAATGGCTAAGGTACTTTAAAACAGCCAGGATAGTACCCAATACCCATTAAGTTAATTTGAGTGTGGACAAATTTGTCAAAGTGCTAAATTTCCTTAAAAGAAAAAACTTGGAATCGTTGGAATTTCTGCGTTACCTAAAGCATGTCTCTTCTAATCGGCTTCATAATTTCCGCCCTGGTGTGTTTTTCCAAAAACCAAAGTTTATATCATTAATGGGCTACATATGTTCTAGTTTGCCATTTGTATTATGTCAATGGGGAAATTAATTTCTGTTGAATAAATGAAGAGTGTGTTTCTTGCTATTGGGTTCAAAATATTAATGTAAATGCTTACCCCTCCCCCCCCCAAAAAAAAAATAAGACCCATGAGAAAAGGCAAATTTTTAATTTAAAAAAAGTGATAAAAAAAACTGGAGATTGGAGTCCATGACCAAAAGTTCGTTGAGAAGCCACGATCTAGGATAATCTAATGGGCTCTGAAAGCTAACCTGCACCCCCTTCCCCCCAGCAACTATAAAGTCGCACTGGGATGACCCAACAGTGGAGAATATAGCCTCAACAATTCTTCAGTGTGTGTCAGGGAAAGAGAGAAACCACCTCCTGGCTGTGAGAATTCCTCATGCAGGGGACTTTCTGTTGGTTGTTCCCAACTCCAGCCTTGGTACACGCCTCGATCCATAGTCCATCCGCAATGGTGTTGCCCTTCGACTTGCCGCTCCTATTCTCGCCAAACACAGGTGTATTTGTGGCAGTGAAGCAGCAGACCGATTCGAGTACCATGGTCTTGTATGTCGTAAATCCGAGGGAAACATTGCAAGACATGAAGAGGTTAATAACATTAACAAGAGGAGCCTCACAACAGCCGGATGCTCAGCAATAAGGAAGTCACCCCAATTATGCAGATCTGATGGCAGCCAAAAGCATCCAGATGGTATTACCCTTCAAGCATGAAAAGACGGCAAGCAAGTGGTGTGGGACTACACATGTCTCCAGTACATAAGGGAAGAAGGAGGGGCAGCTGCCAGCTTCAGGAAATCCCAGAAGTCCAGAATATACGGTGAACTTGCCCATTATTTGTATATTCCCATAGGATCGGAGACTCTTGGCCCATGGGAAAAGAAGGCATCTAAGTTTCATAAGCATCTAGGCAAAAGACTCATCAGGGTAACTTGGGATCCCAGGGCGGTTAGTTTTCCATTCCAGCAACTCAGCGTTGTGATTCAGAGTGTAATGCCTGCTGTATCTTGGCCACATGCTTCAGCTCTGAAGGAGCTACATGAGATTTTCTTATAATAAAATCTGTGATAAATATGTATTTGATAATAATCTGTGATAAACATATACTTCGTATGTATCTCTCGAACCTCATGTACTGTATGTGCTATCTTTATACCAGCAATGTATCTTTTAAATATTTTGTACCATATTATGTAATAAAATATACTTATTGGTAAAACGAATGAAAAGATGGGGTGGTAGGGGAAGTGGAATATTCAAATGGCTTCAGGAAGAAATCCAAATATTCTTCCTCGAAGCATTTTCATACACTTCTCCGAGGCTGTGGGTCTCACAATTTGCATCAAAGGTGGACCCCATCTTTATATATATATATATATATATATAATATATATATATATATATATATATATATATATATATATATATATATATATATATATAATATATATATATATATATATATATATATATATATATATATATATGTCGTGCCGAATAGGCAGAACTTGCGATCTTGGCTTAAATAGCAACGCTCATCTTGCCATATAGGACAAGTGAAAATTTGTGTATGCAATAATTTCGCCAAAATCATTCTGAACCAAACGAAAAAAATAAATTTGATTGTGTTTGTATAGTACTAAATTATTGTAAACGTATTTAAAATATAATTTGTTGGGTTAGGCTAAAATAAATTGCTCTTGTTATAATAAGGTTAGGTAAGTTTTCTAAGATTCTTTTGGTGAAAAATTAAATTTTTTACATTAACATTAATGAAAAAAAATATATCTTTAAACGTATAAGAGAAAATTTCAGAAAGGACTTAATTTTCAACTAGTTCTTGCTAATTGACCAGTTTTACATATTCGGCACGACATATATATATATTATGTAATCATTATATAATATAATAAATATATATATATATATAATATAATATTATATATAATATCTATTTACTATATATATATATATATATAATTTTATCATATATAGTATTATGTATGTATATATTATACTATTTATTTTATTAACACATCGCCGTTCCCCCAAGGCAGGGTGGCCAAAAAAAAAGCTTTCACCATTATTCACTCCATCACTGTCTTGCCAGAGACACGCTTACACTACAGTTATAAAACTGCAACATTAACACCCCTCCTTCAGAGTGCAGACACTGTACTTCCCATCTCCAGGACTCAAGTACGATCTACCAATTTACCTGAATCCCTTCACAAATATTACCTTGCTCACACTCCGACAGCAAGTCAATTCCTAAAAACCATTTGTCTCCATTCGCTCCTAACACTCTCACGCATGCTTGCTGGAAGTCCAAGCGTCTCGCACACAAGAAAACCTCCCTCCAACCTCTCCTAGGCCGACCTCTGCCCCGCCTTCTCTCCACTACAGATTTATACACTCTTGAAGACATTCTATTTTGTTCCATTCTCTCTACATGTCTGAACCACCTCAACAACCCCTTCTCAGCCTTCTGGATAATAGTTTTGGTAATCCCGCACCTTCTCCTAATTTCCAGACTACGAATTCTCTGCATTAGATTCACATCACACATTGTCCTCAGTCACATCACTGCCTCCAGCCTTCTCCTTGTTGCAACATTCACCACTAATGCTTTGCACCCATATATGAGCACTGCTATAACTATACTCTCATACATTCCCTTCTTTGCTTCCATGGACAAAGTTCCTTGTCTCCACTGACTCATCGGTGCACCACTCACCTTTTTCTCCTCGTCAGTTCTATGATTTACCTTGTCTTTCACAGACCCATCTGCTGACACATCCACTCCTATATATCTGAATACATTCACCTCCTCCATACTCTCTCCCTCCAATCTGATATCCAATTTTTCGTCGCCTATTTTTTTTTGGTATTATCACCTTACTCTTTCCTATATTCACTTTTAATTTTTTTCTTTTACATAGCCTACCAAACTCATCCACCAACCTCTGCAACTTCTCTTCAGAATCTCCCAAAAGAACAGTGTCATCAGCAAAGAGCAACTGTGACAACTCCCACTTTGTGTTAGATACTTTATCTTTGGACTCCACACCTCTTGCCAACACCCGAGCATTCACTTTTCTTACAACTCCTCCAATAAATATATCGAACAATCATGGTGACATCACACATACTTGTCTAAGGCGTACTTTTACTGGGAAATACATAGTTATATATAGTAGTCTCTCTGCAGATACTTCGCAGTGGTGCATCCTCTGAGTCTCAACGTAGCAGACAGACGAGGCAAGATAATGCTCGCCTTCGCCTGGTTCTTGGCCTTCACGTGTTCCTTACCTCAGGTTAGTCATGATTCAACGTTAATTTTACAAGTGTAAGTCTTTGTGTCTAAGTGAAAGAATTCATTGGTAAGTAATTCTGTGGTAAGTCTTCCGTTATATATCCTCAAGGGTAAATAAGCAAGAATATTTACGAGTAAGCCTTTGCGGATAAATATTATGGAGTAAGTTTTTATGGTAAGATTTTATAGGTAATTATTCATTAGTAAGACTTCATGTGTTAGTCTTCAATGGTACATCTTCAACTATATGTTTTAATAAGTTAATTTCCATCTATAATTCTTCTTAGGTAGGTCTTCAGAACATGACTTCAAGAATTAGTCTTTATGGGTAAATCCTCATGGTTAAGTCTTTCTGCATGAACTACTGAGGGTAAGTCTTTAAAAGCAAATCTTCATGGTTAAGTCTTTCTGCATGAACTATTGAAAGTAAGTCTTCAAGAGTAAGTCTTCAGGGGTAAGTCTTTAAGGGAAAGTTTTTATTGAGAGGGTTATTTATGGATTAGTCTTTAAGGAAGAGACTTCAAGGGTAAGTCATTATAGAAGAGTAATGTATGTGTAGGGCTTCCACAAGAATAATTCAAGAGTAAAGTCTTCATGGGTAAATTATTTATGGACAAGTCTTCAAGAGTAGCCTTGTAGAAATAAATATTTAATATTGAATCTTCGATGGAGAATCAGCAATTGGTAAATCATCATGAGAAAGTTTATAATATGAAGTCTTTATGGTTATGCTTTTAGGAATAAGTCTTGAAGGGTACCTATTGAAGGAAAAGTCTTTAAGGGTTAGTCTTGAAGGTAGAGCCTTAAAAGGGATGTCTTCAAAAGTATATAAGTATATAAGGATATGCTTTTACAAGTAAGTCTTCATCCCTAAATCTTTAATGATAAATCGTCAGAGGAAAGGTTCAGGAACATAAAAACATAAGAAAGAAGCTTTCTGGCCCGTGCTAGGCCGGTCTAACTCATACCTACCCACATTCACTCATGTAACCGTCTAACCTATCTTTAATGTTACCAAGGTTTTCCATTCAGCGACGCAACTAATTAGTTTGTTCCACTCACCTGCAACTCTATTACCAAACGAGTGCTTTCCTATGTCATTAATAAAACCTATTTTTTCCAACTTGAATCTGTTGCTGCTAGTCCTGTGTTGGCTAGATATTTTTAGCGAGTTATTTATTTCACTTTATTTATTTGTCTTCTATTTATACACCTTAATCGTGTCCCCACCTAATCCTACGCCTTTCCAGAGAGTGCAGATTCAGTGCCCTCAGTCTATCACAATATGCAAAATAACCACTGTGAAAAAAATAGAGAATTTCCAAGCACTTTCGTGACTTCTGACATTATCAAGGAACTGTAAAAACAACAGGGCACTAGAAGGCTTATAAGGCTGAGATGTCGCCTCACATATGACCTTACACCTGGCTCAGCAAGCTAAGTGTGAGAGTGAAGTTACAGTTTTGTGAGGTCACATGTCAAGTGAAATTTATGAGTGACATGTCAGGCACATGTACAATAGCGACTAGATGAAAAATTAGACATGTGCCGCATCTGGGTATCTTTATTTTAGACGTTTCGCCATCCAGTGGCTTCAATACGAATTCAAGGTCATAATGGAAGACAGTAGAACTATATCCAAAAGGTGAGATAATCAGTCCCTCAGCATTGCAGTTGGTGTGAAGAGCACCGTAGTCGTGAAGAATCTGGAGCACAGGCAAGAAGGCTGGTGCTTATATACTAGTGACAGGTGGAAAGGGGACGTGTACCAGACGAGAGCATAGTCACTGGTAGTCGGGATTCCCCAGTGGAAATAGCTCATACCTGAGGCACGGGTTAGTGTTAGTGGTAGTTGTAGTAGTAGTAGTCGTCGTAGTAGTAGCCGTTAAGAAGTTTATGTAGATGTCCTCTGAACCATGATGTTGCAGTGTCTGACAAGTTGCACATTAACGGTATGCAATACCGACAAGATGATGGCGAAACGTCTACAATAAAGATAATCAGATGCTGCACATGTCTAACTTTTCATCTTGTTGGTATGAATACCGTTCATGTACAACTTGTTGCAATTATGTTGAAGGATCAGTTATGGAAGGAATATGTGGATTACAATAATGGTCGTATGGGAAAAGTGAATCATTATGTGTGTATGCATCTGGAGAAGAGAGGAGTGTAGAAGAGAAAAGAGATTTTGGTAGATGTTAGCGAGTGTCTAGGAACTTTTGAACCAAGAGAGAGAGTAATTGTGGTAGGGGACCTAAATGCTAAAGTACGAGAAACATTTAGAGAGGGTGTGGTAGGCAAGTTAGGGGTGCCAGATGATAATGTGGGCCCTTCGATTCAACTGTGCATAGAAAGGGGATTGATTATACCTGGAGTATACCTGAAGGGGGTTTCGGGGGTCAACGCCAACGTCTGTGACCAGGCCGCTATGACCAGGTAATACAAATTTTAAGAAAAAGATGATGATAAATAAGTATATAAGATATAATGTAGGGAGTAATGACAATAGTCTGTTGTACTATATATTGACTGATGCTAGACTGTTGGGTAGACTTCAAGATGAACATGTTTATAGAGGGGCCACAGATATATCAGATCACTTTTTTAGTTGCAGATGGGATGCAAGGAAAATAGAAGCAGCTAGTAAGAGAGAAAGGTGAAGGTTTATAAGCTAAAGAAGGCAGTTAGTGATTCTCACTCACAGCGGAGGGCCAGTAGAAATTGGGTTCAAATCCTTGTCTTGCACAGTGCTGTTATTGATCAATAGCACTCGTTCGTGGTTATAATAATATATATATATATATATATATATATATATATATATATATATATATATATATATATATATATATATATATATATATATATATATATATATATATATATATATATATATATATATGCTGCTCATAGGCTTGTACACCAACAGGGATGAGAATGAAATTAGCTTAAAAGCTGCCACACCTCCGTTGTCCTCGGACCAAGAGTAACACACCTAGCTTGGCTGGGTGCTTGGTTCTTGTAGGGTTGGGTGGTCCTGTGGGCTAAAGCGTCATGTGGTTCTCGCTCACAATGGCGGGCCAGTACAACATTGGTTCGAATCCTTGGCTAGCGCAGTGTTGTTATTGATCAATATCAAACATATGCAGAACAATCACTGTGAAAAATTAGCGAAGTTCCAATCGATTTCGTGGTTTCTCACATTATCAAGGAACTATAAAAATAAAAGGTTAACAGGAAGGCATTTAAGAACGAGACTACACTTCGCTGCCACCTCCAACAACACTTGACTTTTGATGATGATGTAGGTAGGTAGTCAGTGATCATTGAAACATAGCTTATATTCTACCCAAAAATATGTCTAATGTATCTTCAATTCATCCCAAATTTATTAATTATAAATAAATCCAATTTATGTAAATCAAAAGCAATATTCATATTATTTTCAAAACTACTTTTTAAGAAACATGATTCTATTATATTCCTGTCGACCATGGACTTGCTTGATACTATTTTCTCAACTTTTTGAAAATGAATTGTATGGTTAAAATCTCTTATGTGAATAAACAAAGCATTAGAATCTTGCTCGCTTCTAGTGCTATATTTATGTTATTTAACCTGAGTTCAAGGCTTTTACCAGTTTGACCGTCATAAACTTTATCATTTATTTGACAAAGAAACTTATACTCACACCCGTCAGCATTTTTGGGGGAATTTTTTTTATCAAAAGTTTTTAACTGTATCAAGATATTTTAATACAACTTTAACATTAACCAAGTTAATATGGCTGGTTGCCCCTTTTTTGAATTGCAAAGAGTAGAAAATATATGCCTTTCTGCTAACCTTCTATTTTTATAGTTCCTTGATAATGTGATAAGTAACGAAAGCGATTGGAATTTCGCTATTTTTTCACACTGATTGTTCTGCTTATTGTGATATTACTTGACCACTGTGATATTATTGCATTTACATATATGCATACAATCGCAGACAGGCGATCTTAACTATGCAAGACAAGCCTCGGGGGTGGAAATCTTTAGCTCAAGTACTTTCACATTTCTCAGTGCGTCATCAGGAGCTATGAAATATTGCAAGGCAGCAACTGAAGGAGTGAGGGGAGGTTTTCTCAAAGTAGCGCAGTGCGGGTCCATCACCTGCTGCAGCCTCTCACAGAATATGGGCCAATGGCTGGTGTCACCCCGCACTACCACCATTCCCCTCTCCCCCATATGGGGTAGAAAGGTTTGAAATATCAACTATTATGAAAGCTGGAGATATAATAGACAGCCCCAAGCTTTTTCTAGCCACTTAGAACAGGTTATGTGACTTGAGAAATTACGTTTCTCAGTGGATACTGTACATGAATTGTTATTATTCTGTGAACCTTTTTAATTAATAAAAGAAAGAAATAAATGTACTCTTTGTCCATTTAAATTTCCTCGTCTGGGATACTCTAATGTTCCCAGTTGTACTCAGAAGTATCTCTTCATATTTTCCTAAATATTGTCTTACTTGGGAATCTTCTATACCATTCCAATAATATGTCTGTTATCCAAATTTCTACTTCTAACTATGTTATCACATAATCTTATGTACCTGTCAATGTATGGTACAGTATGGTACGAGTTATATAACTATTCATAACTGACATAGCATGGTGTTCTGGTGTGTAGATTGGTGATGCTCGACCAGTGTCTACACACCAGAACAACATGCTACGTCAGTTGTGAATTGTTATATAACGCATTTAGTTGTTACTGTACCATACATTGACAGGTACACAATATTACGTGATAACATAGGTAGTAGAGTTAACGGATGTTAGAAGTAGAAATTTGGATCATAGAAATATATGAATGGTATAGAAGATTGCCAAGTATCTACTTGGTGTCTACCTGGAGGGCATTCCGTGGATCAACACCACCCGCAGCCCGGTTCATGACCAGGCCTCCCGGTGAATCAGGGCCTGATCAACGAGGCTATTACTGCTGGTCGCAC